CAATCCTACTAATGCTATATTACTACTACTACTACTACTACTACTACTACTACTACTACTACTACTACTACTACTACTACTACTACTAAAACCACAGTCATTGCTTTGACATGAGACAAATTCCTTTGAGGTTCAAATGGCAGCTTTATCAGTGTCTGCAATTTTAATATATCCCTATTGTTTTTATCGATTGGGCATTTCCATGTCAAGGTGTTCTTTGATCAATCACAAAATAAAACAACAAAATATGGTGCTTTGTACACCACCTGTCTGCAAAACACACACACACACACACACACACACACACACACACACACAAAACCCCCAGAAGGACTATTTCTGATATCTTATTCCTAATTAACTTTAGTCAATTTCATACAATGAAAAGTTATTTTTTTAAAAAGGAGAAAGAGAAGAAGAAGGAGAAGACTAGGAATAGATACATAAGCAGTTAAAATCTCCACAATCATTCTTGGGTACATTTTATATTGGAGTCCAAAGGGCCAGGAGATGGAAAGATAGATAGATAACCTGGAAGTGCCCCTTCAGGACAAGATTAGATCCCACTTCTTTGATTCAGTAAGCCAAATTTACATGAACCAGTGATATTTTAAGGAAGTGTTTCTCAATCTCAGTAACTTTAAGATGTGTGGACTTCAAGTCTCAGACCTCTCTAGCCAACATGCTAACTGGGAAATTCTGGCAGTTGAAGTCCATACATCTGGACTTATTTAACTGGATAGCAATAGCAATAGTACTTAGACTCATATGCTGCTCCATAGTGCTTTACAGCACTCTCTGAGTGGTTTACAAATGTCAGCACATTGCCCCCAACAATTTTGGTCCTCATTTTATCTATCTTGGAAGGATGGAAGGCTAAATCAACCTGGAGTCCCATTAGGTTCAAACTCCAGGCTGTGGGCAGAGGTAACCTGCAATACAGCATTCTAACCACTGTGCCACCATGGCTCCTATGGATTCTATTAAGAAACCTATTTCAGAACAATGTTTTTTAAAAACTTTAAGATGGGTTACCAGAAATATTTTTATTTTAGATCCCCCCACAAATTCACCCTTGTCCATCTGTATTTGGAAAGCTTTGTTTTACACTGTTCCCCACCCCACCCCCTTCACTCCAGCACATTTAACCAGTATTGTTCAACAGACATTCCTTTACAACAAGAGATCAATGAAATTAGATAACTGGTACTAAATTGCTTCCATTCATTATCCACAGCACATTATGTCAGTTGTATTTTTGACAATTAGAATGGGCGAAGAATAAAAATTCCAATAAAAGAACGCACACATCAAGCATCAGTTCCTTCTACAGTTTCCTTTTGAAGTCTCACGGGCATGTTCCCAAGATTCAGTCACAAATTGATTTACAAGTTTCACTCACATCCCAGCCCCTCCTGAACTGTTAGCGGAGATGAAAATTCCAGTCTCTGGTTGAATACCCAGCCATGTTACATTGGTAAAGGTCCTATATTTCAGACAGCTTCTTTAAAAGTTAAAATCTGTTTCTCCTGGCTACATATGAAATGCAAGATTCTGCATTTAAGTTGGCACTGCAGTGTTATCGGCCTTGGGAGAATGTTAAGCCCACTGGCTTGCTTAATTGAACAGGATGATATGTTTCCATTGGCAAACATACTAGTTAAACCAACAATCTACAAATATTTGTGAATTTAGATTATGTCTGCTACATTTTCCCACAGGTTACTGAGCACTTTTCTTCTCAGGGCTGAAACTCTAAACAAGTAGATTTACATGTGTTAGTGACCAGGGATTGTATTTAATATATTTGCAAAGGTGAGATTGTGAGGTGGGGACGCACTAAGATTTTCTGTGGTTTCCTGACTATGTAGACAAAATGTATCAGCTGCCAATGCCAATGGACTGGCCGGTGTAAAAAAACCTAGGAAAAAACCTCATAAAAACAGCTAAGAACATAAAATCACAGACAACCCGGACTAAAATTATCCAATGAACAACAAAATCAACAAAACAAGACAAAACAAGACCTTAAACAAATAAGGCCTGGGACAAAAGCCAGGTTTCCAAAGTGAAATGGGAACGTAAGTCAAAATGATGGCTGTTACCTATTAAGACCTCCATAATATATTAGATAGACCTCCTCTATATGTCAACCCTTCAAGGTATACCAGATTTGAATGCTAATATAATATTTATTATCAGGTCATAGTAACTGAATCTTGCAATACATCCCCCCCCCCTCTTTAACTTCATGAGAATTAAGCAGGGTGCCATTTGACCTGCTTTCTCATTTACATTTCAACTCAGATTTCTCTTATCTAACTGTTCTCTTGGGTATGGCTCTTCCTCAAGGTTATTTTCATAGCCTATTATAGTTTCCCATAACATATGACCATCCAATTCGATCCTACGGGATTTGGAATGCTCTTGGTTTCTTCAATTAAACGTGTCNAAACCTAACCCTAAACCTAACCCTAAACCTTACCTTAACTTAAATCGCGCTTCTGTCGGCGCGCTGTTGTCGGCGCGCTTTTGACATCGCGGTTTTAGCGCCGCGGTTTTGTCGGCACGCTTTTGACGTTCACGCTTATGTCATGCCACGAAAAAATGCGAGTATGCAAGGGTACAGCATTCCATGCGCCTTTGGCATTTAGTCATGGTGGCCACATGTGCACCGGTCAGCTAGTCTTCGGGTTTGCAAAGACCAACTGGCTGGTGGGCATACACATGCCAGAAACCGGAAGACCAGCTGGCAGTGGTGCGCATGCCAACAGAGAGGGCTCTGCATGCCACCTCTGGCACGCATGCCACAAGTTTGCCGTCACGGATGTAGAATGTGAGGGATGTGTGTTTTTGTTTTATTTTTATAGTTTTCTTTATGATGCACACTGAAGATGGCATTTAACTTCGTTGTACCCAGTGCAATGACAATAAAGTAAAACTACCAACTATGTGAAGTGGCTAAAACGCCTCCTCATCCTTGGTAGGATTACCTTGAGAGGCACTTTTGCTTTGTCCCAAAGGATTTAGGATTCTCTTTTAATTATATTCAGCCTGCCTCCCCCTCTGTAAAGAATTTGAGTGAACGGTACGCCCTCAAAAAGCTGTTAAGTTGTCTATGAAATAAAAGTACTTCTTCATCTCCTGAACCATTAAAAAAAAAACAATCTCTGAAATCTCTTTTGTTCTTTTCCTCCCTCCCTCCTCTCTCCCCCCACCCCCCTGCAGTAGCACTAACATCTTTTTAAGATACCTCCGTATCAAAGACCTGAAGGAGTAGCAGCTCTGATTCCATTAGTTTGTAAGATAAAGACCTAATGAACACTTCCTTTGTTCTTGAAGCTGTCCTGATGATAATAATAATATATAAAAAAAACAGCTGGTAATTATTCAGTTGGAATGTCTCATGCTGAGAAAGGCACCATCAAAATCTTTATGGGAATAGCAAGGATTATTAAACGGCATTTGCCACAGCTTCCCCCTGAGTTTTACCGTATTGTATTTTTTCAATTCAAGGGAATACTTACTCCGGCCAATTCCTCTTCGGTGAACTTCACGGGCACGGCGTTTTTCATTATGGCAACGGTGGCAAATATGAAGGAGAATTCTCCTACGGCATGCGAGAAGGTAAAATGGCATCTAGGGTGGGATCCATATATCAAGGGGCTTTATTTTAACATGTTTGCTCAACAAGCTGTGGTTTACACACATGGGGAAGCCATTCAAAAATTGGCACATGTCATCATTGACATTTGACACACCCTACGAAAGCCCGTTCCAGTGGCGTGAACCCAAATTAACTGAAGTGGGAATACCCTTTTTGGTCGATCTGCAAGACTGGGGGAGCAATCTCCTGCTCACATGTATTGGTGTGTGTGAGTTAATAAGCGGAGAAATGAGAATGTTAATTCTCAAAATAGTTTCGGCCTAGGACCATTGCATTAGCACTCCATTCTGGTCAAGATTTGTAATCAGGGTGGATAAAAATCAATGATTTTTTAAAAAAATAAAAAAATAAAAATTGGATTATTATTTTTAATTCAGATCAGATTTTTTTTTCTCATTCAAACAGGATTTTTTAAAAATCAAATTTATTTTAATAAAATGCTTTTGGGGTAAAAAAAAATCTGTCTAAAGGTAGTTTTCTATTTAAAGTACATTAATCATTTAGTTTATTCAGCATGAAAGGGAGCTTAGTCATGTAGCATGAGGCGGTACATTCTGCAACATTTACATTTTTTGGTAAACTCATTCAAAGAACCCACGCTCTGCAAACCGAGATAACATGCACTGTGTTGATGCCTTCGTAGAATTTCACAGTAGCCGTGAGATAAATCATAAAAACAAAGTTCAGGAATATTCCTTTATCCCATTGTTTGGCAAATCTAAATCTAAACCGACTTGATCTTTAAATCAAACCATCCTGAAGGGAACACATGTTTGAAACAGAACAGCAGAGTTGGAAGGGACCTTGGAGGTCTTCTAGTCCAACCCCCTGCTCAAGCCTACTTCCCAGATGTGATCATCCCTTCCACCAGGCCATATCCCAAACTACAGCCAGGGGTCCCACAAGTGTTAAGACAAAAGGCAGCAATGTGTGTCCCAAAGCGGAAGGACAGCAAAACAGTGACACAAGAACAGTGTTTTGATGCAAGCACATAAGCCGCGGCCTTTTTGCCTTACGGTGTTGTTGCGCCTGTGCATGACCCACCTTTGCATTGTCCGGAGGGGGTACAGTTACTGCTGTCCATCTGTGTTTGAGATCAGTTCAGCCGCATAGTTGGTGCTTTCTTGTGGTCAGCACAAATGCCTACAATCAATTTTCTTCCAGCAACAAAACATAAAAGCAATCAGCATAAAAGCAGTCCGTTTTCTTTACTCTCCTTTTCCCCCAACAACTTTTAGTTTTAGCTTTCAAATCAGCTGAGAAAATCACAGTGTTTATGCAGGAATTTGTGGTTGTTGTTGTTGTTGTTTTTTTAAAAATCACCTTTTGGCATTGTTTTTCTCTATATATAATGCAAAGTCTTCTTCATAGGCCATGGGTCACTGACGGAAAAGGATGGAGAGACCTACCAAGGAAGCTTTCATAACAACAAAAAACACGGAGGAGGAAAAATGACGTTCCCGTGAGTTTCTCTTGATGATTTCCTTGGGCCTTTAGTTGGATTCAGCCTAGCAGACTTTCAGGAAGGAGCAATAACCAAGATCCGTAATTAGTCACAGAGCCCTGGAAGAGCCAGAGCAGAAGTCCGTGTACCCAGTCACCTAAAATTATTCTCTTTATTTTTAGAAATGGAGATACATTTGTAGGGGACTGGATTCTGGATCAAAGGCAAGGCCATGGAGTACTTCAATGCTCGGATGGAACCGTGTTTGAGGTATAAGAACGTCTCTCTTGGTTTTCCTTTAAGTCCCCTAACTATTTAGACACCTTCCCAGTGGCTCCATGGGCACAGCATAAACTCCCAGACACAACTGAATATAGCTACAGTATTTGCGATCCTGCGATGTGCTAAAAAGCTGGAACATTGAGTCCATATTCACCACGATTCAGCTTGATAGAGACTAGCCCGATTCATGAAGGGAACAATTGCTTAATCTGCTTTGTGCTTACTTTTAAACTGAACTCCTTGTGGCCCCCTTTTCCTTCCAAAAGGCTTGAGGGAAAACACTCTTAAATCCCTTCCAAACCATCACACTGTGTTTCCGAGCCATAAATGAACTGTCAATCTAAGTTTTTGCATGTAGGTTGTTTTGATTCCTAGAATTTGTTGTGTGTAGGTAATGATATATTTTTATCTATCGAACTATCTTACTCTATTATCTATCTATTTATCTATCTATCTATCTATCTATCTATCTATCTATCTATCTATCTATCTATCTATCTCTATTACCTATATCTATCTTTCTGTCTATATCATCCATCCATCCATCCATCTCACTCTTATCATCTATATCCTATCTGTCTGTCTGTCTATCCCATCCATCCATCTCTATCATCCATCTATCCTATCTATCATCTATCTATCTATCTATCTATCTATCTATCTATCTATCTATCCCATCCATCTATCTATCCCATCCATCTATTTCTATTATCCATCCATCTCATCCATCTATCCATCTATCTATCTCATTGATCCATTTATCTATCTATCATCTATCTATCTATCTATCTATCTATCTATCTCATCCATCCATTTATTTATCTCTCTATCATCCATCTATCCATTCATCCATCCATCTATCCATCCCAGAGTTCCACTGGTTAAATGGGCAATTGGGCACATTTGTTGAGTAAACCATCAATGAATTCCCTTGACTGATGCTGTAAAACTGATGCTTCAGCTGTTATCTAATCTATCTGGTATCTCAAACGCCAAAATTCTGATATTTCTAACAATTGCATTTACCTGGACTTGGAATATATTATCTGGTTTGGAATACTAGTGGATTCCTGTTATATAGGCAGCTCTTCTTATTGTAACCGAGGCTGTTTCAGTGTTTATGCTTGAGTTGGGCCACTCCATATCCTTGCCAGGGTTTGGACTACAACACCCCATCTTCCTGTGCCATTCATCCTGCTGTGTGGATCTGTAGTGAGCTGGAGGCCAAAGTTTCCTGTTTAGTGCCAAGTGATCCAGAAATTGCCACTTATTTTGTGTGTGAGAGAGAGATTAAGATGCCTTTTCTTTGGCATCTCCTTACAACACATGGCTTGTCCAGTCTCATTATTCGGAAAGTGCATAAATGGCAATCAGGCGTAATAATGCCGGAAATTAAAAAATAGGCTCCCACTGATGCTCTGTCTGCATAGATCTCAGATGCTTTCAGACCAACGCTTCCAAGGCCGGCTGAGTAGCCATCGATCTAAGCCAACAGAATTTCACAGCTTGTTGTAAGCCTTTGCCAAAACGGAAGGGCTTACTCCAACTGATCCTCAGCCCTTCTCCAAATTACCCCCAAAGAACCGGATTGAAAAGGAAGCTGCTTTTCTCTCCCACTCCCTGAAAGACAGGCTGGATAAATATGACAAGACAGTTGAGGCTTCCTTAGGGCTTCCTTCCCAATTTCTGGCCCGTATACTGGCATCAGTCTGCGGAACGCCAGAAACTGGTCCCTGCAACGAAGTGAAGCCGCATCCGCGGGCAACTGTTGTGATGTCGGGATGCCGGTGTTGGACCAGGTAGAGTAGGAAAACCAGATTCTACTTAACTCGAAGACTTTGACGCAGCTTTCCACCTTGCAGGGATGCTGCTGTGGGGGGAAAAGGGGAGGAGGGAGTAGTATGGCAATGCAGATTTTGTGTTCAATGTATCCAACCAGCAACTGGGGCTCCTGTAAAAGTAAAAAAAAATTGCCCTCCAAAATGGAGCCTGTTTGCTTCGTAACTGTCTTCAGATCTTAATTCAGGAAATCAGTATGTTATGTCTGTCAGAAATCTAAGGAAAATGTTCTGGGTGAAACATTTCTTTGCCTTGCCAAGGAAAAAGTTTTCAAGTAAGTTGGGGGAAGTCGAACAGCAATGCCCAATCTCACAAGCTTCACACTGTGGTTTTTGTTGTTGTTTGGCTTAGTTCAATATCTGAATCAGTCAATTGTGATATACTGCGTTTCCCGAAAAATAAGACAGGATCTTATTTTATTTTGACAACCCCCCCCTCCCAAAATAAGTGCTTGGCCTTATTTTCGGGGAGGTCTTATTATTTTTGAGGTGCAGGAGGTCACTTAACCTCAGCCTGAGGCCCGCGGATCAGCTGATCCAGAGAGGGCCGGAAGTCCTGTCTGTTTCTGGCACACCCTTGCCAGCCCTAGCATCGCTGGGCCTGCTGCTCTTTTTGCGGCCGCCACTAAGAGAAGGGGCGCGGTAGCTAGGATTTGCGGGTGCAGCCTCCGCGAGGCCGGTCTGCGTGGATGGCAGGTTCATGGGGCTTCCTCCCCCCCTCCCGCTGCGCATGCATTTAAATATTTTCAGGGGGGGCTTATTTTAGCACATGCGCTCAAAAGCCCGATTGGGCTTATTCTCCAGGGAGGTCTTATTTTCGAGGAAGTAGGGTATAAGCCATGATTTACCATTCAGCGTGTTGTCTGAAAGGGTTAGAGGAAGTTTCCACACTAAAGGGCAAATCCAACCCTTGACCTCAGTTGTGGCAATGCGAAAACATTGCACTGCTCCTTATCAGGACTGCCTCTGCGCCTGCTCAGGCACTGAAGCTGAGTCATATTTTGTTAAAACTTACCTTTCCTAGCGTGCCGGGCTTCTTCCTGAGCTCCTCACACTTCTTGTAAATTCTCAGACCAAGCACCGCCAGTAATTATAGATCGGCCCTTGCGAGATCAATCTACTGACATTTCTTAAAAGGCTGCAACGTTTTCCAGTTGTCACTCTTCCCGCCATAAGCTGTTAGCTACACATGAGAAAGAATTCGGTTTCGACTCTTGTTTTCTACTTACCCTTATGAACCCTAGATGTCCCTGGCTTTGGCTTTTCTTTATCTTTTTAATTTTAACCTAACGTTATCAAACGTTTGCAGATGTTTGTTGGATCTTCGGCCTAAGTAAGCTAAGATTGGCTCTATTTATAGCTATGGCTGTTTCTTTTTCCCAGTGAGTGTCTGAAAGTTTCAGTGTCATCGTTCTGGATTTTGGCAGTTCAGTAATAAGTAAATAAGAAGAGGCTGAGGTTAGGCATCAGGAGGAATTTCCTGATTGTATAGGACAGGGGTCAGCAACCTGTGTGGCTCTGGAGCCGCATGTGGCTCTTTCATTCCTCTGATGCGGCTCCCTGTTGCCGGTTGGCTCCACAATTGATAGGGCTTTCGGTTAGGACAGGTAAGGAAAAAGGATGCTGAGTGAGAAGGAGACTCTATGGTGAAGGAACCAGACTTCCAGTCAGCAGAGGAAAAAGGATGCTACGCTAGGAGGAGACTCTATGGTGGGGGAGCCAGACTTCCAGTCGGCTCCAGAATTGAACAGGCAGTTTCTAGTTAGGACCTTTGTGGCTCTTTGAGTGTTTAAGGTTGCCGACCCCTGGTATAGAGACTGTTAGTCTGTGGAACGGGCTGCCACAAGACATAGGGAGGCCTCCTTTGCTACAGGTTTGTAGGGAGCAATGTCCTGATTGATTTTAGACTAAGCAGGGGGAGAGTCAAGATGACCTCTAGCCTCTCTTCCTGCTTATTTACTTATTAGATTTTTAATTCCACCATTATTATGGTATAGGTAACTCAGGGCGACAAGTGTACCGAATATTCCTCCTTTCTCCCATTTTCCCCACAACAACAATTCTGCCAGGCGAGTTGGGCTGAGAGGAAATGAGTGGCCCAATGTCACCCGGCAAGCTTTCGTGCCTCAGGCGGAACTAGAACTCACTGTCACCTCGTTTTTAGCCCAGCACCTTAACCACTAACCAGACCTACCCTTCTGTGTACTTCTAACTCAGTGTTTTTCAAATTTGGAAGCTTTAAGATGTGTGGACTTCAGTTTCCAGAATCTCCCAGTCATCATATTGAGAAACCCTGCTCCAAATCTTTCTTTCTTTCTTTCTTTCTTTCTTTCTTTCTTTCTTTCTTTATTTATTTATTTATTTATTTATTTATTTATTTATTTATTTATTTATTTATTTATTTTCTATTCCTAGCCTTTTAAATATAAAGTCGTGTAGATGGGATTTTTTTTTTTAAAGCATCACTGTCTTTCTATTAAAACACTTTTACACATTCTTGTTTTCATGGCAGCCTTAATACTGACAGATGTTTCCACCCCCTGTTGGCCTTGTACTACTGACGTACAATATTTTGTACCCAAACAAGGATCGTAATCCTTGTAATCTAGTGAGGATGAGTTATTTGCCAACTTGAATTCTTGGAACGACGTAATAAAAATAATTTTAAAAATAAACAAAAAAAAGGGGGGGATAACGATCCCTTGAACGCACTGTTGTGTTTGTGTGAAACACGGCCCTGACGACATCTTATTTACTGAAAAACTGAGTTGGCAGCGAATAAATTTAATTCATAAATAATGTTGAAGCATGGCTAACTGGCAGTGGGGCAACCCGATTTTAAACTATCCCCTGGCGATGCTGTCTTGTTTTCTACCACTTGGTGTCTCCCTTACAATTTGTTTAAAAGTTTTTGAATAGAAGCTTCCCCCCCCCCCTTCCCCAAAATGCCATATCTAAATTCCTGGGATCTTTCTATATTTGAACCTGAGACTGGAGGCAGGTAAGGCCAGGGAAAAAGAATAGAAAAGAAGAATCATCTTCTTTTCAGAGAGCTAGCTTAAATTACTACATAGCTTCTTACAATTCAAAACCAAAATGACTGCTAGTGGAGGAAAGCTACATCAAAGAAAGAGAGAACTCCGGGCAATG